TCCTTCTCAGAAAATTCGGAATCCCATCTACAGCCATATGTCTGGAATAATTCAGGCGCAGCCCTGTCTGACACCAGAGGGAGAACATGCTAGATAATCTAAACTTTCTCCTAGCCCCCAAACTCTGAAATTGGAATCAAAGCTATTGGCTTACAGCGAGGCTTAGAGTTAGACTTCCTTTTGTTTATTTTCACCCTGAGCCTGGAAAGGAGGTGATAGGGGAAGGATGCCCCGACACCCTATTTGGATTCCTATCTGGTATCTCAACATCAGGAAAAGCCTTTCTCTGTATACTGTTTCACACCTCCTCAAGAGTCAATTCACAGGTCACTTAAAACAAAAGATAATGCAAATAACTGGCTCTAATGGACACTAGGAGATTCCTTGCCTTGCTCCCTACAAATGCCTGCTTTCCTAATTATACCTTGGCCTAAGCTTGAAATTGCACACCATCTAAAAAACATGATAAACACTAAAACTATAAATAAGGACCTTCAGTTTGTGGAGTTCAAATGAAATTGTCCTAATTATTATTATTATTTGAGTAGAAGTCTCACTCTGTCACTCGGGCTGGAGTACAGCAGCACTCTCATGGCCACGACAGCCTCGATCTCCTGGGCTCAGGTGATCCTTCTGCCTCAGCCTTCCAAGTACCTGGAACCACATGTGTGTGCCACTACACCTGGCTAATTTTGTGATTTACTGTAGAGACGAGGTCTCGCCAAGTTGCCCAGGCTGATCTCGAACCCCTGGACTCAGGCAATCCTCTCACCTCCGCTTCCCAAAGTGCTGGGATTACAGGCGTGAGCCACTGTACCCAGCTCTAATTATTTTTTAAATTGAGAGACTACGAATCTGATTTTGATGTTACCTGTCTTGCCTTTCTCTTAAGATACCATGAAATATAAAGAACCAATCAAAACATTTCAAATGCATTCAGAATCATATCATATTTCTTTAGGGGAGACATAAGAGAAAGGAGACATCTGTAACTACCATGGATGCCTTTCATTTCAAATCTTATAAAGCAGAGGTAACAAGCTAGTAACCAGTTAATGAAACCAAGTCCCTCCATGTCTTCTTTGTTGGGCCTAAATTCACTCAATTTTTTTTGGTTAGGGTCTGTCCCTATCACCCGGGCTGGAGTACAGTGGCATGATCACAGCTTACTGCAGCTTCAACCTCCTGAGCTAAGGTGATCCTTCCACCTAAGCCTCCTGAGTAAACGGGACCATAGGCAAGTGCCACTGCACCTCGCTAATTTTTTTTTTTTTTTGTAAAGACAGGGTTTTGCTATGCCGCCCAAGCTGGTCTTGAACTTCTGGGCTCAAGCAATCCTCTAGCTTCGGCCTCCCAAAGTGCTAGGATTTCAGATGTGAGCCACCACAACTGGCCCACTTAAATTTTTTTAAACGTAGTTGCCAATATTTTACATCAGAATTTTTCATATAAAAATTCAGATTCTCAAGTTTCTCATGAAAAGTAGGAAGATCAGGAACTAATGAATGGCCACAATCAGCTGCCCCCTGAAGGTGGAACAGGAGCTCTTCAGTTTCCCAGTATCTACCATTCTTTATTGCTAACACCCAGGAGGCATGTCATTGCCATTTATCTTACAACAGCTGTTTTCCTGCTACCTGGCCTGCTACATTGGTGCCCCCTAAAGGCATAGCATCTGTTAAATAAGAACAATAGTAGTCTTCACTAACAGAAAATTAAGACTATAACCTTCACATTGGCATTGTCCACCTTAAGACTAATCTCTCTCTTCTTAAGGCAGCAAAATTAGTGTTCAGGTTGTTGGGGACTGCAGCTTTCTTTCTTTTGGGAGGAGGGTATGCCATTTCTTCTACAGGAAAAAAAATTAGTTCCCCAACCTTGTTTCTTTTAAAGGAAAAGATGTTCAATTCTGAAAAAAGGCTCTGATAATCATGTAACCCCACATTTTTGGAAGGACAGTCTTCCTATTTATTTGCAGTTACATCAGGAGACCTGAGACTAGGGGTTGGTATTTTCTTAAAAGGTACTTGTAGCTATAAAACTTTAAGATTAAACTCTGACAGACATAAGTGAACTTACATATCCATAACTTACTACATATTGATTTCAATGACGCCCTCATTGCAAAAGACATTTTACTGGGACTGTCTTCAGTTATTGCTAATGTATTAATCAAAAATCCATGTCCTTACTTTATGGCTCGATTTATTTCTTGGCTGGGTTACCACCTGAATACCTGGGCCTGGACTGGAAAGACTTTTGACTCTTTCTAGAGATCAATGTACCTCAAAGCCCAAGACTCAGCCCTATAGAGGAGATTCTGCACTGTGTGGCTGGGCTGGGCCTGTCAAGGTGGTCTCTGTTGCCTGGGCTTCAACTTCCCTGATCAACCTCCCAGCAAAGCTGACAACATCAGATGCTAAATCCTTTCTATAAGACATTAGTGAATTAAGATGAACTAGCTTGCTACCTTCAATCACCTACAGGCTTCCTGGTTTTTCCTGGAGCTTTGGATTTACCCCTGGTGTCCTTTTCAGGGGACATTATCCAACTTTTCTGCACAGCCTTTTACTCTTAGGATCAAGGTCTTTTAATAGAGAGTATCCCTACATTCGATTTCTTGTTCCTGCAATATCTAAAAGTCTCTGACTTGGCAGAACCTTTTTCTGAATTCCATCTTATCATTTCCACTGTCTGGGACAACTTGTGAGTCAAAAAATGCAACTCTGCTTAAAACAGATGTTTTGCCTTGATCTGCAAGGCGACTAATCTCATCCTAGCATAATGGGGAGAGTGAAAAAATTAATGAAGCAAAACTAGAAAGTTGGACTCTTCAACTTATTCTGAGTTAGGCAACCACACTGTCACTTCATTACTTGGTATTTTTTTTTTTTTAATTGGAGTCTCACTCTGTCGCCCTGACTGGAGTGCAGTGGCCGCTCCTGGCCACCGCAGCCTCGACCTGCTGGGCTCCGGCGATCCTTCCGTTCAGCCTTCCAAGTAGCTGGAACTATAGGCGCGCGTTACCATGCTCGGCTAGTTTTTGATTTATTGTAGAGATGAGGTCTTGCCAAGTTGCCCAGGTGGGTCTCGAACCTGTGGGCTCAGGCAATCCACTCACCTCAGCCTCCCAAAGGCACAGGATTACAGGCTAAGCCACCGAGCCCGGCTATTAATCGGTATGTTAAGAGTTTGATTTTGTTGATCAGAAGCACTACTATTTCAAAATGAGTATCCAGACTTAAACATCACCTGATTTTGGGACTAGCACGTTCTCTTTTCCCCTTCCATTTGGAATAGGAGTGAGTTCATGTAACAAACTCTCTGCCCATGCCCTTAGAACTGAGTTTATGCTTCCTGCCCAGTCCTCCATGCTGTCTCTAGGGCCACTTTCTCAGAGATGCCTCATTTCATGAGTAAAGCTGAATATCTATACTAAAAGCAGCTCCTAATGGTTCCTCTGGGACACAAAACATCTCTTGAACTTAATAAGAAATCTCTCTGATAATGTTCCAAGCGAATTCTCATATGTTAGCAAGTTTGGACTGACCATTCTCCTTCATAGGCATGTGCCTAGGATGAAATAGCAGCTGGTCATGTGGGCAGGAGCTCTGTGCTCATCCCAAATTCCTTAATGACAATATGAAATGTCTCTCCTCCGAGTTGCCTCATTTTATGGGGGAGACAATCTTGCAGCTCTCTGTCTCTCCCTCAAAGCAGCTGCAGGAAACTTGATGCCAGAGAACAGACGAGCACGTTCCTCTCCCAAGAAGCTGCCAGCTGCCTTTACAGAACAGGGAGTATGACATTTGCATCAAAAATATACACAAACTATTCTTTCCAGCAGAGTTGAAAGCCCTCCCTTCCCCACCTGCCAAGCATGTGCTTGGAAGGAAAAGTCCTGCCCCATCCCACCTCCCACCCTGTCGCAAGGTATTTCTCAGCATCCCCTTTAATGCTGGTCCTATCTAATGAAGGAACCTATGTCCCTGGGGTGAAAGCTGAGAATACAGGGTGCCAAAATTCAACAGCACCCATGAAAAAGGTGGAGAAAGCTACTCGCACCCACACTAGGGCACGGGGAGGAGAAGGGTTTCCACAGGGGAGAGCAAGACATCATTCATTAAACACATGCTAATCAACAAACATGATGTGAACGACTGTTTTCTCTTTGGAAATAGAAATTCTATAGAAAAGTCATTCACAAAAACAGAACATTTACTTTTGAGACAGTCCCCTCCCTTCTACCTCAGCAGATTAATGGACCACTACCTCCGCACACTGCTGTGTTCCAATGAATTCTGATCTGTAATATTCAGAACACAGCTTTAGACCAGAAGGCCAACTGAAGCACGAATTGCAATTTCTAATACAGACCAGCTGGGTATCAGTCTCTTAAAAATAAACTTCCAGACAGTAACATCTGAGATGCAGCACAATAAATGTAACCCAGGGAAACAGCAGGCAGATCTGGGCCCTGCATGATACCTACTCAGACCAAGAGGAGGCTCTATGTGCTAAGGTTCTGGTACCTTCTGCATGTTAACCAACCCACCTCAGAAGGAATGGTCAAAATGGTCAGCCTGGCCTTGTGGCCCCCACCTCAATCAGTCATGCTACTCAATAAAACACAGAGACTTATTTCATAAAAGGTGACTGTATATTCAGGCATTTTCTTGACCTCTGACTCAAAGCTTACTTAACACCCTTGGCATTTTAAGTTCCACATCTAAAACAGACAAGAATATCATCTGCAATACAACATGGATTCCAGACAGACTGGCACTTGATTTCTGTGGCTCTAATGATGTTAAAAGTGCTTCTTCCAAAACGCCAACAGTAAACAGGAAAACTTTGTAGGAGCTCAATGATGTCTGAATGATCAGTGCAGGTATTTCCCTGTTTCTCTTTACACATTTCCTTCCTACCTCCCCCAACAGGCTCTGATCCAAGGGCTGACCTAAAGTGGCAAGTTGTTGTCAGACCTGGTGCATGCCTTCCAGAGCTCCACACGGTTTTAGAAAACTGGACACTTTGCCAAGATATCTGGTTGAGGGCTGGGGTAAGGGGGAGCAAGCACTGGCCAGAATTTCCCTCCAAATATCTTTGTATGAAACCTCAGCTCCAAGTGGGCCACACAACCAGAGGTGAGCTGGGGAATCAGAGAGAGGCAGCAGCTAAAGTGGCAATGCTTAGACTCTTTCGTTTCATTACAAAGGGGCAACTGCATGGAGTTCATCAGTGTAGCTGTGGCAACCAAGGTCTGCTTTGCACACCCCAGAGGCAAGGAGCTTGGAAGGAAGGGCAGGAGGCTCCTCCTCACCTAAGGAGAGAAGAGAGGAGAGAATCACAGTCATTGCATTTCACTGGACTAGGTGCTCACACCAGAATGTGAATGGAACTATGGGCTTTACACAAATGAAGCAGGCATCCCAACCAGCTCAAGATGGGGCATGCTTATCCTCCTAGCAGGTTCTAGCTCCTTTAGTTAAGGAAGGAAGAGACCTTTCTTGAGGATCAAGGGTTTGAATGTATGATTCCAACTAGTTACAGGCATGGTAAGCAACAGCCTGAGATAGCACCCTGCGTGGCTCCCTTTAGAAGTGGGCCCTCCCACATAGCCCACCAAGGGGGGGCTTTGCTGAGCTAGGATGGAAAGAATACTGTACCCACGAACCCCAGGTTCAGTAAATTTAGCTTTAAGGACAATAGGGGGTGGTGAACACAACAGGTTTCAACAAAGAAACAGGTCTACAGACCCATATCCAAGACCCTTGGGGTCCGATCTGTTTTGGAATTCTGACATTTTTGGAGTTTAGAAAGGTGACATGATGCACATGTGACAAGCTGCACAACATCCCTTGAGCATCAGTATTTCTGTAATTCAAGCATGTGGGTACTCCCATTACCTGGGATAAATAAAATGATCAAAGGAGTTGTGTTCTCATCAGGCTTTGCTGCCCAATCAGTTGGCACCAAAATTAGAACATCACTTTGATGGATTTCAGAAGCTTGGCCAAAGGCTGTGGCCTGTATCGGGAACTGGACCCAACGGCACCTTACCCAGGCCTGAAGAGGAGGACACGCTCTCCGTCAGGGAAGACGTTTCTGTGTGGTCCGTGGAGAGTCCTTCCATCAGCGGCAGAGACAGCTCGGACGAGGGCACAGACGAGTCATAGATGCCCGAGTCACGTGGCATGTCCGAGGGGCTGCCGCCCTTCACCGTGTGCAGCAAGGGCTGCAGGACGGCGCTGCCGTCAGGAGCCGGCTGGACCTCCACGTCTTCGTCCAGACCCACATGTGCACTCTCCGGGTGTGAGTCGGCCGGCCCAGTCGCCCCAAGAACAGCTGCCTCGGCCTTTAGGCAGAAATCGCTCTCGGGCCCTGGTTTGCACATGACGTCGTTTAAAACCAAGCCCGAGTCAAACTTCTCTAGGACCGGCTCCCGGTAGCGCAACGTGGGAGGATGGAAGGGAATGAACTGCTTTTCGAACCAGTCTGGCTCCTCGTCGATGAACTGGTGCATGTTGCAAATGGCGACGTACAGGGAGCGGCCTGACTTGCTCCGGAAGTAGTTTCTTCTGCTGCCGTGACCAGGATGCTGCCCCGGTTCCTGGTGGCTCGGGTCTCGAGAGTGTAGGTGGGAGCAGAGCTGGGGAAGGTTGTCCATGAGTTTGTACTTGGTGCTTAAGTCCAGGACGCCTGGGACATCTCCCTCACAGGAATAATCAAAGTAGACGGCGATGAACTTGCTGAGTGCCGCCGATGAACTCTGCTTGGCCTGGCGGAGCTTTTCAGCGATGGCCGACACGGCCACCAGGAAGAGTTCCCCTTTCCCTGAGCCTCGGCCGCCTCCTTTGTGTTTATAGTTCTTTTTGTCCACAAAGTACTTCATTCCTTTGGAACAAACCACAATGATGAACTGGGACTCGTGGATCTTCTGGATGACCCATTCTCTCTGTCCTTCTCTACAGAGGCTGAAGTCTTCCCACAGGTCCAGAGCCACCTGGAAAGAAAACAGGGCACCTCATTCACCGATACAGAATGCTCTCAGGAGTCTGGAGAAGTGGGTAACAAGAACGGGAATGTCAGAAGGAGGTCACACCATCTGTCCCTTAACCACTGTTAGCATTGCTGTGTGTGGGCTCCAGGTTACCCTGTACTGAGGAACAGCTGAGGTGATGGTCATACCCCAATCCCTCTGCAAAGACTTGCCATCCATCATTTTAGCATTATGGAGGGTCACTACCACTCCTGCCCTACAGGTGAAGTGACAGAAGCACAGAGCTTTTTGCTGCCTGCCCAAGTCACATACATCCTCAAGGTAAACTATTGTGTGGTGGAGAACACAGAACAGAGGAACTGTGTCATGCTGTTTACCGGTTGGTCATCAGCTGGAGGGGAGAACTGCAGTAACATGACCATTTTTGCTAACTCACTGGGGAGTGCCCAACACCTTCCTCCATGGCTTCACAGAGGTCTACAGGGTCACATCTCTACAAGGCCTGTAATTGACAAAGCCTCTAACTCCAAGGGGGTTCTGGGAGGCAGGGTGGGGGTGGTAGGGTTCCTGACAAAGGAAAGAAAACCAGACATGCATAGTTTCCTCAGAGGGCTTCCCCTTCTCAGGTCACTTTCATCTGATTCTGTAGAAAATAGTTTCTTGGTGACTGTGTTGGTATGCTTCCTTCTATAGTTTGGAAACTAATTCCTAATGCCTATGATCCAACCCAACAGCCAGTCTCTTACAATGGAAGGGCATTCTGAAATGAAATCTTCTGCTCTAAGATGTTACCAAAGGGAAGAAAACATCCATTTGCTGAAAATAATCCTGAATTGTCTTATACTTTCCTTAATTTTTGCTAACATTATACATGCTAAAAGCTAAGCATTTTTTTAAAAGCTCCTGTCTTTAACCCAGCAATTCCATTATCCTTGGAAGTCATGAGAAATGAGGCATTATTGAACTACTGAGATGTTTAATAATTTGTACTGACTCAATTATGGTGAATCAATATTGAGGATCTTGTAACCATTTAAAATTGCAACTTAAATAGAACTACTAATAGTCACAAAATGATTAACATACAGCAAAAAATCATTTCAATCTGCCCAAAAGGCAAAACTGCATGTATGAGTTCACTTACACAAAAACACAGGAAGAAAATACACCAAGCATTAATTGTAGCTCTTCCTTCTCCAGGATGGGATTACAGGCAATTTTTTTTTTTTTTTGAGAGTTACACTCTGTTGCCCAGGCTAGAGTGTAGTGGCACGCTCGAGGCCACCGCAGCTTCGACTTGCTAGGCTCAGGTGATCCTTCTGTCTCAGCCTTACAAGTAGCTGGAACTACAGGTGCACACTACCATGCCCAGCTTATTTTTTGATTTATTGTAGAGATGAGATCTCACCAAATAGCCCAGGCTGGTCTCAAATCCCTGAACTAAGGCAATCCTCTTGCCTTGGCTCCCAAAGTGCTGGGATTACAGGCTTGAGCCACTGCACCCAGCTTACAGGCAACTTTTGTCATCCTTTTCTAGTCTCTAAATTTTGGTGGTTTTTTTTCTCTTTAGTTTCCAAATTTTCCATTGTAAGTATTACACTCACAATTGGGAGAGTGTTTTCCCCAGAGGCTAAATACTTACGAAGTAGAGCAAACAGGGTTGTCTGCTCTATATGAAGGCAGTGTGTACCACACGACTAGAGGGCAGTTTTCTTTCAGCAGGTGATCTGCCAACATCATGGCTTCCATGCAGGGGGAAACTGGGCCACCCTAGTAAATATGTTTTATGGACACGAGGGGGCAGCCTCACCACATAGAAGGATTCTGAGAAACGCCCATGGGCAGTTCCAAAGCAAAAAATAACTTACAGTGATTGTACAATTTTTGCATATGTAAGAAATAGTCTGTATCATCTATAAAGGCTTTAGGTTTCATTCTAAAAATGAACACTGACATTATAGAAAAGCTACATGTTAACAGCTTAACTAGGGAACAGCTAAGAAACCAGAGCAGATAATTTAAGCACCTGACACATTATTGTTTTCTGGGAGTCCTCCTTCCTCCTTCCTAGTTCTCTCTGGCCACTGCCTTTTCCTGCATCACCAGTTTCTCCCTTCCCCAGACTTTGTACCAGTCAATGGTTGAACGGCCTCACAGAGCCATTTGCTGATCATTTCTCACTGGATTCCAAGATCCCCTCCAATGGCAGCTTCATTCTTCATTCTTCTTAGTAAAACTCCCCCAAATAACTGTCAACTCATTGCTTACTTGCTATTCTCTCTGTAATCCTCCAAGTGGGGCTTCTGTTCTGAACACGCTTACCAGGATGTCTTGAGTGACTCCCCTCAACCCGGATTGCATGTTCCCAAGGCAGCTGCTGGTCTGTTTTATTTTTCATTTTTATTTATCTTTTTTTTTCAGTTGGAGTTTCATTCTGTTGCCCATGATGGAATGCAGCGGTACAATCATGGTTCACTACACCCTGGACCTCCTGGGCTCAGGTGATCCTTCCACTTTAGCCTTCAGAGTAGCTGGGACTACAAGCACGTGCCATCATGCCTGTCCAATTTTTTTGTAGAGATGAGGTACCACTATGTTGCCTAGACTGGGCTCAAACAATCCTCTCACCTTGCTAGGCTTACAAGTGTAAGCCACCACACCCATCCTAGTTAGTCTTTTTAACGTTTATACAAACTTTCTGCCAGGTAGGTGCCATTCAAGGCTTTTGAGCAGGAATGTGTTAGGGTCAGAACTAAGTGTTATGATGCATTTCATGCTGGTGCTGGGTAGAACAGACTGAAAGAAGAGTATAAGACCATCTTCAATTTGGAAGCTACAGCACTAGTCAAGGGCAGATGTCACCAAAAGAGGCCTGGAGGAGAGAAGGCAGTGGGGAGAGAGTACAGGGCAAGTATACTGGCTCAAGGTAAGAGAAGAGACTTTAGATTCCGCACCTCGCAGCCACAGAAGTCCTGGAGGAAGTAGGCGAAACACTGGACAACATTCATGTGATTCTGGCCATCTTTACTGGAATAGCAGAGAAAGACCTTCGGCCGCGGCCGGAGCCTCTCCCGGGGTAGTACTGCAGTGTATGTGGAGGACTCAGAGCTCTCTTCATCTAAATGTGAATATATATTTTCTAAATTGGAAAAGAAGACAGGGTTGATACCTACAAGCAACACTTTGTCTTGTTCCCTAAAATTTGGAACCCAATGCTGTCTTCGAGAAGGAACAGTTGACATGTCCATCGAGAGCAGTCTCAGTCCCCCAATTCCATTAGCCCCCGAATCACCGCTGGGAATGTGACAGCTGATTTCTGCAGTGGAGCAACAAATGATCAAAATTTGTTCTGAACCTGAAATTGACCTTCGACAAGCCAAGAAATGCTACAGGGGCCAACCCGGTTAGCAGAGCACTCAGAACTGGATCTTGCAGCCAAGTGCACCTATTAGAACAATTAAGCATCGTCAGACCTAACCTTTAAAAAAAAAAGAGTTTTTGAGGTGTCGTTTACAAAAGTAAAGTGCATAAATCTTAAGTGTACATCTTAATGAATTTTTATGTGAGTACATACTTGTGTAACCTCCACCCAGACTAAGATACAGATCATTTCCAGCTCCCCAGAAGGCTCTCTCTTAACACCTCACTTACATAAATAAGCGGACCCTATCATATCCTTACCCATACTTCACACTTCCTTTATGCCCTTAAATTTACTATCCTATGTTTGAAAACAGAATTATGCCTGTCCTTTTAGTGGCTCCTGAGGTTAAAAGCCAAATATCTTACTTCTGGCAACAACAGTAGCCATGGAACTGAGTTGGAGCTATGAGGCTTCCCAGATGCCAGCCTGTAGGAACCAGGTACTCCCAAGTTTCCCGGTCTGTTGGCAGCAACCCCTGGTCTGGCCCTTGTTGGAAGGACATGGCACATAAGATACCTTGTTGTAGGGTGCCTGAATGAAACGTAATTGTATACCTAACCCTTAACTGTACCCCACAACATCATAATAAAAAAATTGATTAAAAAAAATAGGCTACAAAAAAAAGATACCTTGTTGCTTCTTGCGGCACATTACAGTGAAGAGTGTTGCAAATGCCGATATGACAACCAGCGGCACGGTGATGGCCATGGCTCTGATGGGCCCAGCCCACGGCGAATGCACTAGGAAATTTCAAAGGGAAAGCTTTTAAACTTAAGCAGTGCAACAGATTCAAAAAGAAATAGCCTCTTTTTTCGAGTTAGAGTCTCACTCTGTTGCCCAGGCTAGAGTGTAGTGGCATGCTCACTGCCACCAAAGCCTCAAACTACTAGGCTTAGGCGGTCCTTCCACTTCAGCCTTCCAAGTAGCTGGAATTACAGGCACACGCTATCATGCACAGCTAATTTTTTGATATATTGTAGAGACGAGGTCTCATCAAGTTGCTCAGGCTGGTCTCGAACCCCTGGACTCAGGCAATCTTCTCATCTTGGCCTCCCTACAGACTTGAGCCACCACACCCAGCCCCTCTTTTTTCTTTTTATTTATTTTATTTTTTATTTTTTTGAGTTGGAGTCTTACTCCGTCGCCCAGGCTGGAATGCAGTGGCACATTCACAGCCACCCCAGCGTCGACTTTCTGGGTTCCGGTGATTCTTCTGCCTCAGCCTTCCAAGTAGCCGGAACTACAGGCACACACTACCACGCCCAGCTAATTTTTATGTATTTATTTATTGTAGAGACGAGGTCTTGTCAAGTTGCCAGAGCTGGTCTCGAACCCGTGGGTTCCGGCAATCCATTCACCTTGGCCTCCCAAAATGCTGGGATCACACTTTGGGAGGCCAAGTGAGCCACTAAGCCCAGCCTCTTTTTTCTTTTTAAACATAAGCTGCATAGTAGGTTCTAGAATCCCACAACCATCTTTCTCTAGTGCTGGTTTGATGATTATAAAAGGACTCAACAATTCATTTTTAACAGTTATAGAAGCCAGGTGCGGTGGCTCATGCCTGTAATCTCAACACTGTGGGAGGTAGAGGTGAGAAGATTGCCTGGGCCCAGGGGTTCGAGATCAGCCTGGGCAACTTGGCAAGAGCTCATCTCTACAATAAATCAAAAAATTAGCTGGGCGTGGTGGCATGTGCCTATAGTTCCAGCTACTAGGAAGGCTGAGGCAGAAGAATCGCCTGAACCTGGCAGGTAGAGGCTGCAGTAGCTGTGAGCATGCCATTGCACTCTAGCCTGGGCGACAGTGAGACTCAGACTCAAAAGAAAATCAGTGTCTCAAAAGAGAAATAGTTGTAAAGACCAATTCAATGTCTGCTGGGACACTAAATACCTTTAAGTGAATTTTGCCTAAGGAAACCTCCCCTCCCACCACTTTTCTTCAGAAGACAACTGACTATTTTGTCCCAGCTATACACACCCACACTGGCTTTGATCTTCCAGGCATCTACATTAGGGTAGAAGAAAAAGTCAGATTTGATGGAACATCATTTAAGAGAGTGGAGCCAAATTTTGTTTTGTTTTTGTAAACCATGAAGTACAGAAAGTATCAGATACTTTGGTTAACAATAGTCTAGAGCCAAAATTTCAAACAAAAAATACCTACCTGGCTTTAAGGCATAATGCATCACTTTTCTTGTTGTATTGGTGTCATCTACCAACTGCAAAACAGAGAATGCTTATTATTTTTTTTTACGTGATAGTACCTCAAAAAATTATGTCTACCAGGTAAGTGGGGAAAATGGTGATTTCTTTCATTTTTCCATCAGTGAGGGTCAGGGGTGAGAGGCAAGTAGTGAAGAATGGCTGATGAAAAAGAGAGCTGCTGCTGCTGCCTATAAGCATCTGCCAGGCTGATACCAAGCATTAAATATTCTCAGGTCTGTCTCTGCTTTACCAACTGAACACTCTAAATAAACTTCATCATGTTTCCATTCATGAATCAAAAGGCTGTTTAGTCATTGAAGAAGTCAGCTGGTGAGTCCCACATTCTAACAATTTTCAGTTAAACTGGCATCTATCCACTGATTTTACTGGGACTCTATGAACGCTTTAAGAAGGTGTGTCAGTCCAAAACTAAATACAGCTATATATGACACCTAGTTCTTGCATAAGAATGCAAGAACTAGGTGCTGCTTCCAAAATATTAAGACATATTGGTTATCTTTGAATAGTGGGCTATGGACAAATTGTTAATTTTCTGTTACTCCTATTTTTGCAATACCAACTTGATACTGGAAAAGTAATCTTAAAAAAAAAATGAAAATAAATATTTCATTTACACAGTCTTTGAAGCAGTATTTGCAACTCATGTATACATATATAGAAGAACAGCAAGACAAACCCTAGAGAAGTATACTCAGAAGTAATGGACATAACTTTTATTTTGTTGTTTTAATACTAAAATAATTTTAAAGCTAAATCTTTAAAAATGTATCTTTGTAGTATAAAGGAATACTATATAGATTTTAAATCATGATTATACAGAGACTGTATGGTTACATAAAAACATCTATTTGAAATATTTAATTAAAAGACAAAATCAATTACATATAAACTTTAAGAAGCATGTTAAGAACCACATAAAACATAACTGCACACCTTCAATGCCCAGAAATTTTAGTGTTGTCAACAGCTGGAATTCTACACGAACTAGGTTCATTCTGTAGAATTAATAATAGGCTTTCTTAAGTTTTACATACCTCAATTATATAATCCCCCGGAGAAACATTTTGAAGAAGGCAGCTGGTTGTCTCTGTATTTTGCTCCTGCAAAGACACAAAGAACATTTTAAAAACTTACTTCTTAGCTGGGCATGGTGGCTCACGTCTGTAATCTCAGCACTTTGGGAGGCTGAGGTAAAAGGACAGCCTGAGCCCAGGGATTCGAGACCAGCCTGGGCAATATCGTGAGACCTCATCTCTACAATAAAACAAAAAATTTACTCAGGTGTGGTGACACACGCCTGTAGTTTCAGCTACTTGGAAGGCTGAGGTAAAGGATTGCCTGAACTCAGCAGGTCGAAGCTGTGGTGGCCATGAGCAGACCACTGTACTCCAGCCTGGGTGACAGAGTGAGACTCTGACTCAGAAAAAAAACCCAAAACTTACTTCTTTGAAAAAGGTCAGCAGGACACCACTTCTTCCCCAGAGCTGAAGAAAACTTGCCACCAGTTTCAATCATAGTTTTCAGAAGGTGTGATCAGATCAGAGAGCAACTGTGTTTATCTGCTATATGCTGTCTGAACTTTTAGGCTTAGTGGTGTCGCCCTCAGCAGGAATATATGATTTGAAGACAAATAAACTAGTTTGAATAACCTTTACTTAATAAAAGGTTGGGGAAAGAAATTGCTTGTCTGTATTTGTACATATTTTACTTGCCATAATTTTAACACAGGCAGGTCGCATTCAGTCAGTGATAGAGGTGACAGTCAGTAGGAAAGCAAAACTATGACAGACCCAAACACACACAGGAGCATGTCTAGTAAGGTACTGGGCTTTGCCACCCTTGACTAAAACCTCTCTTGGTGCTCACAAGAGGGGATCTGGTAGTCCTGTAAGCTTTCGTGAATATCCCCCACTCCTCTGACTGCCCACAATTTAAAAACTTGGTTACTGAGTTTTCTACTTAACCTTGGCCTGCTTGTAAAACCAGTGCCCACTGAGTTGCTAGCAGTTTGGCTCCTAGATCTGTTTTTCCACTTACTTAGCTTTGTGGCCTTAGGCAGGCCAGGTGACCTCCTTGAGTCTCAGTTCCCTATCTGTAAAATGGGGATGTCAGCAGCTTCGGTTTCATATAGTAAGGATTCAAGACAGAAAGTTCCATTCCTGCCACACAGTGAGAACCTGATGAATGTTTATAATATAGGACAAGCAGGAAGTGCTTAATTCTTTTTGATTCCTTGGCAATACTTTTTACCAGGCTACACCACTACCAGGATAGCCAAGGTGTAGATAACTAGAGAGTGAAGGATGATGGCAAGATGGCCATGAGACATACCCAGTAATAATGTTCTGGAGTATCTAATGACTGCTGAGAACCAACGAAGAAAGCCTAATGCTAACATTGAGTCACCTAAATTCCAGTGGCCCAGGAGTCACTTTAAAACATGCGGTATTCCTTTATGCACACCTGAGAGCTTACCTGCTTACAGGTCTTTCGCTTGAAAGGTCCTTCATGCTTGAGCTTGTAATGAAGATAGAAGAAACGGAAGCCAAAGTTGTGTGGTGCATGGTCAAAGGACACCTGCATGTCTGATCCGTGCTGGGTGATGTTCAGGTTCCGAGGCTTCCAGACTAGGAGGAAGTAGGACCCAGAGTGAGCACCCAGAGGCCACCCCAACACCATCATGGTGGCAACACTTTGAGGCTCGATAGATAAGAATACCTTTACTTACAGGGTTTACAAGCCAAGTTGTCCGACTGTAACAACAGGTCACAGGCTATTAAGAGAGATACACATTTTTAGTTTTAGGACACTTTGACATTTTCCTTGCCCAATAATTCAATAAAATATAAAGATACTATACCAGGTCGCTGGAAGAGGTATAAATATATCAATTCAACAGTGATTTTCACTACAGTACAGTTGTCTCTTATGAAAATTTAAATGGTACAATATAAAAATATTAACGCAATTCACTTTATGCCACATAAATGGAAACAGTGTAAAGTCACCCAGATTTTGAAAGCTTGTCAAACATTACATAATTTCAAGGTTGGTGGCCAAAGGCAGCAGTACTCTTCATGCTACAGTCACATGGAGGCTCTGTTTCAGCTGCAAATGCCAGCCCCAGCCCAGTTGTGGAGGTGTTTGGGTACATGAGAACTTTAGTGGTCCTGGTAATTGCTGCAGGATTATTTTAACCCTCAGCAATGTTCTAATTTAAAAGTCTTTTGATGGATTTTAAAATGCATGCAGGCATCTACTAGGTAGCAGGGTCAGCACTAAAAACAAGGTACCAAAGTCAGTCGCTTTGAAACAGAATTAAAATGTGATAAAAACACAATGAGGCCAGGAGTAGTAGCTGAAACTTGTAATCCCAGCACTTTGGAAGGTAGAGACGAGAGGACTGCCTGAGCTCAGAGGTTTGAAACCAGCCTGAGCAACATGGTGAGACCTGTCCCTACAATAAATAAAAAAAATTAGCTGGATGTGGTGGCACGTGCCTGTGGTTCCAGCTACTTAGAAGGCTAAGGCAGAAGGATCACTTGAGTCCAGCAGGTAGAGGCTGAGGTGGCCGTGAGTGTGCTACTGCACTCCAGCCTGCTGACAGAGTAAGACTCTGACTCAAAAAAACAAAAAACATGTACCTGCATAATGAACACTTGTATACATAACCCTGAATTGTACCCCACATCTTTAAAATAAAGAACCCCCCCAAAAAAAACAACAACAAATAACACAATGAGAGAGACAATACAACATAGTCCAGTATGCCATGCTGCTAACTCAGGCAGTGTCTTCTGGGAAGTGTCCATATAATGCCAAGAAAATTAAGGCAGCATCAAAGCCACAATGCCCTGAAATGGTGATAAATGTCTGCATTCCAGGAGCATATCCCCTTCTTCCGCCTCACCCTCAGATGGACACACTGATTCAGTTTCAATGAAAAATTAGTCTTAAACTATGCTAATTTTGATTTTGGCGAAGTTTTCATAAGCACATTCTTTGAATCCTCTAACTGGTTATCATGTGCAAGGCATCAAGAGATGTTGTAACATACATACAGTCTTTGCCCTACGGAATCCTATTTTAACTAAGAAAATAAGCCCAATTCTTATAAATAACTTTGCTTCATAGAAAACAGACACAGTAAGAACTCTGCAAAAGAAAACATTGATGTAAAAAAAGAAAAGAAAAACATTGATGTAGGCTGGAATCGAGAACAAAACCTCATAGCGGATGATGACTGCAACCAGACCACAAAGGAGGGGGTTGAGGATGGCAGATAAGACTGGACTGTGCAAGGCCTGGAATGTCAGACAGAAAGATGAACAGGAAGGCAAGGGGGAGGTGCTGCAGGTTTTTGGGTGACTGGCCATCAAGTTTGAAGTCAGTAATTAGCCGGGCTTGGTGGCTCAGCCTGTAATCCCGCGCCTTTGGGAGGCTGAGGTGAGTGGATTGCCTGAGCCCAGAAGTTTGAGACCAGCCTGGACAACATGCAAAAATTTTATCTCTACAAAAAAATTAAAATTAGCCGGAGGTGGTAGTGTGCGCCTGTAGTCCTTGCTACTTGAAAGATTGAGGTGGAAGGAAAAAAATAATAAAATAACAATAATTAAAATAAAACTTTCTAGAAAGAGGTGGTCGCTGGGCTTGTGCTTAATTTTCTTAAACTAATCCTGAAAATGACAAGTCATCCTCCTGATGACATGTAAAAGTTGGAATTATTAGGCCGGGTTCGGGGGCTCAGCCTGTAATCCACGCCTTGGGAGGCCGAGGTGAATGAATTGCCTGAGCCTGCGGGTTTGAGACCTGCCTGGGCAACTTGGCGAGACCTCATCTCTACAATAAAAATTAAAAACTAGCCAGGCATGGTAGCGCGCGCCTGTAGTTCCAGCTACTTGGAAGGCTGAGGCGGAAGGATCACTGGAGCCCAGCAGGTCAAGGCTGCGGTGGCTGGGAGTGGCCACTGCACTCCAGGCGACTGAATGAGACTCCAACTCAACAAAAAAAAAAGATGGAATTATTTCATGCTTCTACCCTTTACCATGCACCTTTATTCCTATTTTTTATTTTTATCAAATTATTTTGATATGTGATTGTCCTTTTAATTTAATTTTACTATTATTATTATTTTTTGAGTCAGGGTCTCACTCTGTTACCCAGGCTGGAGTGCAGTGGCACAGTCACCGCTTTCTGAAGCCTCGACCTCCTGGGCTCAGGCGATCCAACCACCCCAGCCTCCCAAGTAGTTGTAACTACAGGTGTATGCCACCATGTCCAGTTAATTTTTAAATTTTCTTAAATAGAGATGAGATCTCGCTGTCCTGCCCAGGTTGGTCTCAAACTCCTGGCTCAAACAATCCTCCTGCCTCGGCCTCCCAAAGCACTGAGATTACAGGCATGAGCCACTGTGCCTGGCTTTTTTTTTTTTTTTTTTAATTAGAGATGAGGTTTTGCTGTGATGCCCAGGCTGGCCTAGAACTTCTGGGCTCAAAGGATCCTCCTGTCTCAGCCTCCCAAGTAGCTGGGATTACAGGAGCACACCATGTGCCTGGTAATACATGGCTGTCTTTTTCTTTTTTTTGAGTTGAAGTCTCACTCTGTCACCCAGGCTGGAGTGACACAGCACACTCATGGCCACCACAGCCTCGACCTGCTGGGTTCAGACAATCCTTCCACTTCAGCCTACCAAGTAGCTGCAACTACAGGCACACATGACCCCACCCAGCTAATTTTTTGATTTATTGTAGAGACAAGGTCTCGTCAAGTTGCCCAGGCTGGTCTCAAACCCCTGAGCTCAGGCAATCCTCTCGCCTTGGCCTCCCAAAGTGCTGGGATTACAGGCTTGAGCCACTGCGCCCAGCCACATGGCTGCCTTAGTGGCGGTCACAGCATCCTCAAAAAAAAAAGTCTGTTCTAGAACAAGCCAGGAGTGGTGCCTAGGCCTAACCTTAATTCTAAAAAGTGCTTTTCTGAATACTTTTCCTGGATGCCTTTCTTGCTTGCCATGCTTATTTTATATCAATATTTGGTGTTCTTGAACATATCTCTAGAAAAATCATTAAAAGCAGGGAAAAAAGTCTCCTTGTAGGAATCAGGCAGGAAAGACCATACTCACCACGGGTTCTGAAGAAGAAAGGGTGATAATTGCTTTCATTTTTAATGGAAGGAAAAGGGACAACCTTTACAAAGTAATCCGTTTCAAATTTCATATTCAAGAAAGGTTGAGATTCCATTCCCTAAAAGGGAACAAAAAACACCTGACGTCATGGAGAAATTATTCAGCCCTCCACCTACACAAGATCTTCACTCCTAACCCACCTGTCACCCAGACACAATTCCAGAGCTGGCGGACATGCCCCAGGGAGGCAGGAAGTCAGATCTATTTTCTGGACCAAGTTTAGGTTTCAATCCCTAACCATGAAGATGGACGATGCTGTCTGTTCTTTGGCAAGGAAGCCATGGCTTGTTAACACTGAACCTCAGAGTTGGAGGGGAGGAGGAGCCCACATACACTCTTCAGAGCACAAAGGCACCTTCCAGATCACTGCTCAGGCGGTAACCCGAGAGGTATGTTTACCACAGAGAGGTGCTGAAGAGTTTTCCTGGGAGTGTGGAGCAGGCTTGGAGCAGATTCAGAGTGTTGCCCACCTTGGTGGGCGGGGTGGACCCCACAGCCCCTCCTTCTCCAATTTCAGACTTTCAATAGACCATTCAAACCCCCAGAACAATGGTGTGTCTTCAGGAGCACATTCCCTGAGTATGACTTACAGTTCTTTTGAAGCTACTGTTGAGCTGCTTTGGGTCCTTTAGAATCAGTTGTTGGCACTGTCTTCCCTCCGACTTCAGCTCCTCCAGTATTACCCGAAATCCTTTTAGGAATTCGATGCCTAAGTAAAGCAGAATGCTTTTATTAAAAGCAAACCTAATTACTTCTGAATACATTTTCCTTCCTCCAAGATTACTGTCCTCTCTACCTACACATCAGAGTTAAAGGAATTCTTACTCTGGCCAGTGTATGAGTCCATAGAAAGGAAAAACACATACCCCACATTCCTCTGGTACAGAACAGGTGATTTTCTTTGCCCCACCATTACTAATTAATTAATCTCTAATCCAGCCAGCCATTTCACAAATATTCATTGCCTCTGTGGCATTTGGGTTCAAATATTTAGACTCAAGTTACAATTGATCATAAAAGTCTGCAGTGGAACATATAACAGGGTATATTCGGCTAATAATAATTATCAATGTTGAGTAGGGAATCCCCCTAAACCATGGTTCCACTTTAAGTTTTAGTTCTATATTTCTGGCATGTCTCACTGAGCAAAGTACAAAATTCCCAACAAAGTGTGTGTCTGCACCCAAGGGGTTCCAAGGCTAGAGATTAAATAGCTTAGGGGAATGTCTATGTGATTTACAAAGCGGTTCTTGCTCTAATCATGCCTGAAAGGCAGACACCCAAGGGCTGCCCAGTATGTGCTCTTCATACAGCCTCAGAGGCTCTGAGACACCCACAGCGCCGCTGAAAGGCACCAGCCCAGCCTCCTGCCACCTGAACTCCCCCCACTGCACGTCCGACTAGATGCTTTCAAAAGGATTAAGCTCTGATGGCCACAAGAGCCAGCACTGGGGCTGTGTATCCCATGGAGACTGGAGTGGTCCAACTGCAGCTGGAGATCCCCAAAGCCTGCCTCAATTGGCGAGATATCGATTTCACATTCTTTCTCAACACTACACAAGGAGATATTTCAACCCTTCCCCTCCCAGGGCAAAAGTAATTACACAGACTGCAATTAACCAGGTGGGAAATTTATTGATGGTAAAGGCCAGGGAAATATTTTAGTCTTTCGAATAGGATCTCCAATCCTATAATTATTTGATGAAGAATACATATTTCATGGTGGGTAGAACAGAAGAGCAACAACTAAAGCTTCACATTTTTGGGTTGCACCAGTACTGACTCTGCCATGTGTATTTCTATTACAAATCTTCATGAGAGGGTGACAGCCAGCTGACCAACAGCCCAAGATTCAGACACAGTGATGAGATACGAGGTCTTTAGACCAACAACTATTTAAATCTCACAGGAACTTGCCTTTTGGGACAAAAAAAATTTTTTGAACAAATTCTTCATATTTCTATTATGCTGTTGTTTCGTTTTTTGAGTCGGAGTCTCACTCTGTTGCCCAGGCTGGAGTGTGGTGGCACACCCATGGCCACTGCAGCCTCAACCTACTGGGTTCAGGAGATCCTTCCACCTCAGCCTTCCAAGTAGCTGGAACCACTGGCATGTGACACCACACCCAGCTAATTTTTTGATTTATTGTAGAGACGAGGTCTCGCCATGTTGCTCAGGCTGGTCTCAAACCCCTAAGCTCAGGCAATTCTCTCGCCTGTACCTTCCAAAGTGCTGGGATTACAGGCTTGAGCTACTGTGCCTGGCTATTATGTTTTAATTTATGCAATGCTCCTAGAGTTATTGTTTAACAAAAGCCAGGTGGTTAGTATGATTAACAACTACATCTCACAATTACATATAAGTTCATCACCTGATGTGGGAATGGGTGAGTCTTGTTCTTATTTTTAAAACACTAGCCTAAAAACCACTATGCCAAATCTTGGGATAGGATAGAGGCAGCAAATGTAATTCCTTTATCACTGTGACACACCATAATACTATTAACACCTTGCAGTTGTATAATGATTAGCAATTTTATAGCGCAGCTTCCCATGAAAGAACTTAATAAGCTCTCCTTCCCATCATTTAATCTCATCAAATCCTCACAAAACTATAGGAGAATGGGTCTTGCCCCATTTTACAGATGAAGAAACTGAGGTTTATAGAAGTGAACTGGCCAGGCGTGGTGGCTCACACCTGTAATCCTAGCAGTTGGGAAGACGGAGGCGAGAGGAATGCCTAAGCCCACGGTTTCAAGAACTGGGCAACTTGGCAAGACCTCATCTCTACAATAAATCAAAAAATTAGCTAGGTGTGGTGGCATGTGCCTGTACTTCTAGCTACTTGGGAGGCTGAGGTGGAAGGATCACTTAAGTCCAGCAGGTCGAGGTTGCCGTAGCCAAGAGCATGCTACTGTACTCCAGCCTGGGCGGCAAAGTGAGATGCCAATTCAAAAAAAAAGAAGGAAACTTAATTGTCCAGATTCACACAGGAATGAAATGACAGAGGTGGGATTCAAACCCAGGAAATGTCTGGTTTTGGGCTGGTGATCTTAACTCAACATGCTTTTTCTACTTTCCAGTCAGTTTCCTTGATAGAACCTGATATAAACTGATAGAACTTGCCCAGCCACCCCCACCATAGATTACAATCCAGGAAAAACTCAACCTTCTGCCCTCACAATTCCATGTGCCAATTTTCCTACCACCAGCTCTCATCTCTCACTTTCATTCTACGAGGGAGCCTGCAATTCGTCAGGCGAACCCCTTAACCATTTAAGCTTTACATGGAATGATCACTTCCCTTTTATCCACAGAGAATGTTTTTATCTTTAAATGTTAAGATAATATTATTTTTGGAAAATCCAGAAGTATTTATGTAGCGAAGTGGCTCGGCCCATGGGTCTGCTCCATCCCCCCTCTCCCTGCACTCAGCCCTCCTTCAATCCAATTCTTCTGAAATTTATTCTGTTCAGATTAAGAAATTCAGACTTTATTTTACTTCTCCCTTGGCCAGTTTCTAAAAACTTGTAAGATCAGATGGCAAAGTCAAAGGAACAGGCCTGAGAACAAGACTCTGATCATAACAGCAGCCATGGTGCTTTGAGGACTCTCTTTGAAAATGTGCACGTACTGTGTGCATCTCTAACCACAGGCAGTTCTCCTCTTCATGTTACAGATGGGGAAGCCGGTGCTCAGCCAGAATTCAATGCCTTGGGTTCAAACCTGGGTTCAATTCTGGGTTCAAACCCAGGACCATCTGAACACATGATCCCTTTCCATGTCCTATGCTTGACTAGTCCATTCTTTCCTGTGTATCCTCAATTCATTCAAGAGGACAAACAGATTTAGCCTCAACCTGAACCTGGCCAGATAATCCAGGTTTTTTGTTTTTTGTGTTTTGTTTGTTTTTATTTGGGTTTTTTGGCCCATAGTTTAAATACAAATTCCGTTTTAAATAAAAATTAGCTGCCAACATTTTAAAATGCATTGATTTCATAGTTTCTCATAAAAACTGAGATTTTCCTGAAAAATCACAACATGTGCCAATGCTGGACCCACATGTCCCTGTGTCCACAGAAACTGCCAATGCTGGACCCTAGACCCATTACACCCTTGGATGGACCATGGGCTTCCTTGGCACCTCTGCCCCCCGCTCCCCTATTACTGCTGAGACATAGAGAGGCCATGCCTCAGTGCCATTTATCACTCATACACAATTATTTTTTTCAGTCCTCATTTTTCTGAATAATAATTAAGGTAGCTAAAGACCATGGGAGCACAGCCTCAAGCCATGTGTATGCCCAGCAAGTATATATGACAAAGTGCAAAGTGTATCTGTGTCTGTCCAATGCAACATTAAGCTTCACTCACATCAAGACCTGCCTGGCCCCTGAAGGCCCTAACATGTGGGACCCTTGCACTAGGCACTAGACACCCAGGTCACCACCATGGACTCGATTTTTAACCACTCACCAAGGGCCCCTGGGGACCAAAGAATGGTGACTGCCACTTGGTCATGGCAAGCATACTGGCTGATGGTGATGTTTTGGGCATCGGCAATCACGTGCTTCCCCACCAGATTCAAGTAGGTAGTACAATCTAGAGAGGTAGAAGAATGAGAACAGTTAAATTTTTATTTTAGGTTCATCTTGTCAAATTACACAAAGCATGTCTGACAGTGGGCAAATCCATTCTGTTTAAAGATATGCGCCTTAAAAGCTCAAATAGGACATCAGAGGTTGACTACTGCTTGGGAAACTATAAAATGCTACAGAGGGGTTTATTTATTTATAGAACCACCCACCCACGCCCCCGAGTTAAATTCCAGGACAGTGTTAGGAAGATTATATAAAGTGTGGAGTTTGTATGTGTATCTGGCATTAACTTTCTTTTTTTTTTTTTTTTTTTGAGTTGGAGTCCCACTCTGTCATCTAGACTGGAGTGCAGTGGCACGCTCCCGGTCACCGCAGCCCCTGCTTGGCTCTGGCGATCCTTCCGCCTCAGCTGGAAGGCTGCGCTACCACACCCGGCTATTGGCATTAACTTTCTTTTACTCTCATGACACGATGCCTAAATCAACAATTATTTACATCAATTCAACCAGTTCTCAGCATTAAAGAGTGATCTGAAACAAAATAATGGCTGGCTAACCTGGGTTTTATTGGTTTTTAGGAGAAACCTAGAGAGCAAGGTAACTGGGGGAAAGAAACTGACATTCAGATGTGAATCCACAGGAGGAATGATTCATAGCAAAACTATTAAAAACCTAGTTAGTATATACACAAGGTACTAACTTAGTGACTGAATGATAAGGAGGTTAACTAGCATCAATCAAGGTAAAACTTTGGTTCCAAGATACCATGTGTCATCAAAGACACCCACAATCCTCACTAAATCACAAGGGCCCACATTAGTAAAAAAATCAAAAGCCACATCAATCTTTAATTCTGTCTGAGGACGTTACTCACTGCCGCCTGTCAATGTAGCCACAACCATGTGAGCAGCTGCACCACCTGTTATTGCTAAATACACCTTCAAAATATGCAAGTTTCCTAAAAAGCTGCCAGAAACTTTCAGCCAGAATCGAGCTGCAACTTCAGAGAATGGCTGTGAGCTATTCTGGCCATTCTTGCAAGAAGAACCGCCAGCCATCCCCAGCAGACACCACTCACAATTCTTACACTGCTTCATCACCATTTCTTTCTCCATGATTACACTTTTAGTATCTGCTACAAAAGGTCATCAGTTTCATCAAATGTCCAAACCTATCCAGTGAGAAGCCTGGGTGTTTTTTCTTTGAGGTGAAGCATTCTGGGGCATTTTCTAAGAAACTCAGTGAGTCAGTTGCAGAGTCTCCCTGTAAACTGTACTTACTGCACATTTCCCATTTTAAGGACTAAAAATATTCATTGGAGACATCTGAAAGCCATGAAAGAATATAAGAAAAGTGACAAATCATTTATAACCTTTCACCACACAGAGGTGTGATAATAAACATTCTAGTGAACACCTCCCCATGCCTTATTTTAATACGCATGTAATACTACTCCTTCTAAGCTTGTTATTAAAGTATAATACACAGACACAAAAATGCACCACCACCCCCACTTTTTTTTTTTTTGAGTCAAGTTTCACTCTGTCATCCAGGTTGAAGTGCAATGGCATGTTCACAGTCACCACAGCCTTGACCAGCCTCAGGCAATCCTTCCGCTTCAGCCTTTCAAGTAGCTGGAACCATAGGCACATGCCACCACGACCAGCTAATTATTTTTTTGATTTATTTTTTGTAGAGACAGGGTCTCGCCATGTTGCCCAGGCTGATCTCGAAACCCTGAACTCAGGCAATCCTCTCACTATTCCCTCCCAAAGTGCTAAGATGATAGGTGTGAGCCACCATGCCTGGCCCACCCCCACTTTAAAAACTCCATCCTCCATATTGCTTTGTGTCCTGTTTCTTCCCTAACTACACAGGTGCACCTGCTTCAAAAATATTCATGTTTTACATTTCAACATTACTTCTTTTGAAAGGATGTTAATAATTAATAAAACCAAATTCTGCTTCTGATGAAAATTCACCCTCAAAGCAATACACATGTGTTCTCAGGGTGCAGAAGATAATTTTAGACTAAGAAAAAAGTTTTTAAACATCTGGTTTAACACCCTCATGCACAAATTAGGAAACTGCAGCTATGAGAGATCAGTTAGGTGGCTTAGGATCCCATCACTGACCAGCCCAGGGCCGGACTGAAAGCAGCCTCCAACAGCTCTTGCCACTCTATCATCAGTACAGTGCGTACTGCTACTAACATCAGTGGTGTTCAGTCTGCAAAAATTCTGGCTAAGACCAGTTTCTCAAATGTGAAAACAGACAAGCGCCTATCATACTTGTGAAGTGTCAATATTTTCATTTTTTGAGGTCTAAAATGAGAGAAACTTTTGGCTCATATAGCTCTGAAAAGATGCATAACAAGAGCAAACCATGGGTGTTTTTTTTCCTTTGTTCATTTCTAATGCCAAGATTAACACTCTTTGGGGTTCTGTACACATAATTATGCAAATATAAAGTCCAAAAATTAAGAAAATTTATTATAATCTACTCAGGCATACCCTGAGAGTCTAAAGAAGAAACATGGAACGCAAAGTCAGAGGAGGCAGGGAAACTTGTAAAATTTAGTTTTGACTTAATGGCAAGATATTTTGTTCCTTTATCACGTTAAATGACAAAGGAATAGGAAAACACGATTTTGTAGTTTAGTAATTTTGGTGAAAACTCAGTAATTGGTTCTTAGCTATTTCAAACAGAACTAGTAACCTGTCAACTGAACAATAACAGGAACTTCCTTATGGAAGAGAGAAATATCTTTTTCAGTGGAAAACACTATGTTTTTTAATACAGCCTGGATCCAATTATTAGGAAGTTTAAAGTTTTGGATTCTGGTTACAAAAACTTTATGCCCACATGACATTTTGCCAAAATGCAACTGAGCTTCAAATGTCTTAGAGATCAATGCAAGCTGTAAATTAAATTCTAAATAAATGCTGAAAAATTAAAAAGAAAGTAATGACTAAGAGACAGGCATAGGCACATGGGCCAAATATTTAATATCATGAAGAAAATAATAAGATACTTTAAAGTTTTGCAGGTAGAGATCCTCCTTCACAAACCCTATATTAAATTAGAGATGCAAATGCTTGTTTGCAGCTGACTGGAAAATTTTGAACTCTTGAATGTAATACAAGATCTGCCAGGACCAAAAGCACATATTAGTAATTAACTTTCTAACTCAAAGAAAGATTCCCTACACATGTCTTTACTTAGCTGAATCAAGTATCATGGACATGCCAATCTTTCATTACCATCCCAGCATTTACCCAGAACATGCACATACTCCCACTGTTCGTGTCTGAGTTGCATATGTAAGCCCTCAGTGGTAACCTAAAAACACCCACGCCAGCCACTGTGGGCGTGAATCTGACACACAAATTGGTATCTTAAAATTGTTAGATTGTAGCCACAACCTCAAAACCACTGCTTTAGCAGTGATTATTCCAGAGGCCTCAATGTGGCCTAAGCCCCTTACATTGATTCGTAACCCTATCCAAGAGATGAATCAGCTGACGAAGTCACTAAATATGATGAGTCAAGCTCCCATTTGTTTCTTTTACTTATAAGTTATGGCTCACAGGCTAAAATGCTCACAATTCTATACAACCACCTTCTTATGAATGAAAGCAGCTGCTTAGAGGGGGCCCTTTATGTTAAATCAGAAAAAGCACCACCTCCATGCCCTTAGAAAACAATTCAGCCATTAAAAGTCACACTTTTTTTTGGCTGGGCTCGGTAGCTCAGCCTGTAATCCCGCACTTTGGGAGGCCGAGGTGAGTGGATTGCCTGAGCCCGCGGGTTTGAGACCCACCTGGGCAACTTGACGAGACCTCATCTCTACAATAAATCAAAAAATTAGCCAGGCATGGTCGCGTGCACCTGTAGTTCCAGCTACTTGAAAAGCTGAGGCGGAAGGTTCGCTAGAGCCCAGCAGGTCGAGGCTGCAATGGCCGGGAGCGGCACTCCAGTCTGGGCGACAGAGTGAGACTCCAACTCAAAAAAATAATAATAATAAAAAAATAAAAGTCACACTTTTTGAAAGAACAAAAATGGTGCTTATTTTCCAAGTCTAGTTGGACTGACTTCTGATATTCACAGGTATCAATTGCTGAGTGTACACCACAGGCCAGCTACCAAGTCAAACAGTATAAGGATTACCTCATTTAAGCCTCAAAAGGATGCTAGGAGAAGGAAATTCATCTTTATTTTATATGAGAAAACTGAAGCTTGGAGAAATCAAATGACCTGCACAGCTTACAAAGCCCATAGGTGGAAAACTGGGGTTGGAACTCAGGCCAACTGGGGACCTCAGGGCCAATCTGGGACTCAGATTCACTTGGTCCACTCTGTTTGTGAAATTTTAAAAATAACTGCCAATATTTTAAAATATTTATACAAAAATACAGATTTCCCACGATTCTTGGATATCACATTTGGCTACCTTCACAGTGGGAATTCTTCAAGGCCACAATACACTGGAATCAAGGAGTCAATGCTCCCTGTAGACCAGGCACGAGGCATGGGATATCCGTTTGCCACAGTCCCCATTTTTCCCTAGCACCCTGCACTGGGGCAGCTTTGTTCATATGTACCCTTGTGGGACCTACTGGCATCTGCATTCGTTAAGAACGAACATAGCTAAGTCCTGAGAAACTCAGGGAAAATCTCCATACATACCTTTTCTGAACACTACGGAAGACACTTGACCTGTTCAAGCTCTCAAGTACATGAGTGGCTTAACTGAAACTGAGCTGTTTTAGCTCTGTTGACAAACCCGAACAGGTTCAGAAAATTCGTCAAGCCCACAGCTTGCAATGTCCTTGATTAAGCACAACTGTGTAAGCTTTAGATGACTGAGAGCGCTCCGTTCTTCAGCAGTCAAGTCAGTTACTTACTGTCATATCTGAAGGTGATGTTGTGCAGCCCACTGTTTCTGCTGGTTGGCCCCACTCCCTGTGGGAAAACAAGAGAACATGATGCAGAGTGAGGCCAATCTGCTGTTCTGGCACAGGCCCCCCCCCCCCAGATTCCACATACACACAATACAACTGAAACCCAGGGTCATGCCAGCCCCTGAGCTTCGTCCCCACTCTCCTTCTGTTCACTCCATGGCCCTTCGACTTCCAAACTCCCACCAGCCTTGGCGATTCCTGACTGCCAAGCCACAGGGATCATGAGCACTCACTTCCCCTAAAACAATAGAAGCAGGCTGTTCTATGTTTAGGGGTTAAATAATAATTCATTAACAGTGAAATTGGGAGACAGACCAAAAGCTGCCAGCTGGAGCCCTTCCAGTTAGATCCACTTTGAGCATTGATTGGTTATAAAATTTGCCTACTCCAGACGCCCTCATCCGCAAGCTCTATTAAGACACGACAGATTCGCAATTCCTCATGTCTGAGGAAACCGGTTTCTCATTCCAAGACTGGGAATGAGTGTGGGAATAAGCTGTTACTTTTAATGAGAAAATTCTTCACTGCATCCATACCTATGCTTGGAGTACATAGGGTGGGTCATAAAAGAAAAAAAAAAGACTTTAAAAGGTCTAACTCTTAACTCTTGGTGATGTGGCCATTAGCCATCTGCACTCTTAATAGCAAGGCCAGCAACTCTGCCAGACTTCCCACTTTAATTATAGCATCCACAGAGGGAGACCCGGAATCCTCCCATTGACCTCACCTTTTCCTAACCTACCACTTACCCATCATGGGAAAAGCAGCCACAGATTTACCGGCTCTGATTTAACTGTTTCTGTAATAATCTGCAAATGTGCCATTTAGTATTAATTGCAGAATTATCCAAAATATGTTAATTCTGAAATGCTAAATGATGGGAAAATATTCCAACCACACAGCTAAAGTTTCCACTTAACAAGGAGGATGTTGGGGGAAACCATATGCTGGCAGCCTGGTATTAATGGGAGGTTGTTAAACTGAGACACAATGTGGAGAACACTTCTGATGGAGCCCAGGGCTTCAGGCCACAACCCCATCACATCCATATGCTACAGGCATGTTCACACTGCTTACCCTGAAGCCAGGCATGCCTACTGAAACTGTATCCCCGAGCTCAGATATACATGGACTTTGGAAAAGCACAGCTGAACAGAAGGAGCACACGAACACAAACACACAAACACACAAACACACATACACACACCACTCTAAAGTGAGGAATAGGCACACAAAACCCAAATCAACATAGCGTACCAACTCACAATCTACTGGGGTTTCCTTCTTCCTGGTTTACCTTCCTTCTTCAGCTTTCCTCCTGCAACCCTCTTTTCCACATACACAATTTTCAGAATTCTTCACCTGAACTGAATTGCTTTGGAAAGTATTGTTCCCTTAATAAAACCCTAAGAGCATCCATAACCCCATAAGGACAAGGCCACTATCTGTGCAACTACAGGCTGCCCAACCTCCAGATGGTGGAGAACAGAGTAACACAATCAGGCAGGAAGCAATCCAATCCCCCACAACCTTTGGTCTTTGCCCAAGACCAAAGCTCAAGACCCCCAAACCATATCCACCCCCCGCCCATTGGGGGCTGCCTGCTTTAGCCTAGCCCTTATCTCACTGTGTTCCTAACACATCAGTCTGCCTGCTACTCACTTGATAGGAGCATCTTACTCATTCCCATAATTTGAGTAGCATGGCAATTCTGGAGAGGTAGATGCAAAATGTTAATTTCAATTCCACAGAAAATCAGAGACCAAATGACCCTGTGACCATTCAAGCCTAGTCATGAAGCTCAGAAGCAAGAGACACCATCCCAGGTACCATTTCTTATGTGCACTGTAAAGACCTTTCACTCCTGCAAGTCCTTACTCTTGCAAGTCCTCACGCGTCTGTCAGCATATGCGTGACAGATGCTCCATTGGGCAGTCCTTGGTTTATACCCAAATAATGCTTCAGCTGCTCCAGAACCCTCAGAAGCCACCTAAGCATCAGTGTACCCAGGGTTAGCCCACAGATCACTAATGTTTGTTTGTTTTTTTAACCCTTCATGGTAGATAAAACATGTCCACATCCTCATCCTGAACCTGTGACTATGTTATTTTACATAGCAAATGGGACTATGCAGATGTAATTAAGTTTATGGATCCTGGGTCAGGGAGAGTATTGTGGGTTATCCAGGTAAGCCCCATGTGGGATAGGGTGGAGGGGGTAAAGGGTGGGGGAGAGACAGAGAGAGAAATGGATGTGAGGTACCTGTGCTGAAGATGGAGGTGGGAGGGGCTAATGAGCCAAGGGATACAGGTGGCCACTAGAGGCTGGAAAAGATAAGGGATGAATTTTCCCCTACAGCCTCAGAAGCAGCTAGCTCTTCCAACACTTTGATTTTAGCTGCATTAAGATTCATTTTGGACTTCTGACCCAGAATTGTAAAATAACAAATTTGTGTCACTTTAAGCCACTAAGTTTGTGGCTATTTATTTATTTTGAGTTGGAATCTCACTCTGTCGCCCAGACTGGAGTGCAGTGGCACACTCACAGCCACTCCAGCGTCAATTTGCTGGGCTCCAGCGATCCTTATGCCTCAGTCTTCCAAGTAGCTGGAACTACAGGAGTGCACTACCACACCCAGCTAATTTTTTTGATTTATTGTAAAGATGAGGTCTTGTCAAGTTGCCCAGGCTGGTCTCAAACCCACAGGCTCAGGCAATCCACTTGCCTCGGTCTCTCAAAGCCCTGTGGTGATTTATTACATTAGCAACTGAAAGCTAAGACTCACTCAAATCATTCACCTGCAATACAGATGAAATACATCCTGATGTCACACACATAGCATGTGCTGTCACCCCCCCACACACACCTAGAAGTGATCCCTTGTCACTGTGCTTTCTCCCCTACCACAGGAGGTGCATCTCCCAGGTATGATCTCTCTCCAGCATCCAGAACCTTAGAAGACTGTGGGATATGGGGCAGAGGGATAGGTCATGGCAAAGGAGTGGAAGGCACTGACCACCAGACTAAAAAATGCATTCTTACTGATGGCCATGGTGGGAAACGGGTGGCCCAGTAACTCCATCTCTGCTAAGCACACAGGTTGGATTGGAGGAAGAGAGACGGAAGACAGAGTGGTCAGGAAAACAGCCCCTAGACCCCTACTCCACAGTCCTAGACCTGGCACATAATCAGCCTTTGATAAATATTAGTTTTCTGCCTGAATAAATGAGTGCATAACTAAGCCAGGTAATATGCACCAAGAACCTAGCTTGGTGTTACACGGTGATTTATGGGCTTCCAATAAGGGCCCACACTATGAGAAAACAGATAAGGTAACTTAAAAGCTGGTCAACAGCTTTGTAAACTGTTCTTCAGGAAACGATCTCAAACTTTTAGCTACTATGGTTTTGATATTTAATGAGCTGATGATTAAAAATACTTGTTTGTTGCCTGTTACTTAAAAACTATAAATGCCAATGCTGTGGCCTCAGGGTGCCACATTCTTAGTTAATTAACCACCCCCATTCCTGCACAAATGGGTAGCTTTTAATTTGTTCCAAAGAGAGCTAAGAAGCAAGCCCTGGTGCCCAGAATTCTGCTATGCAATTCCTTTGGTTGGCACTCTATGGTCAGCAGGGATGGAAGCAGCAAAGAGGAACATAATGTAGAAAACATCTTTTACTCAGGAAGAGAGGGGAGGATAACCCTTAAGTGCTCTAAAGGAATAAAATTCAAAAGGCAAAAACCCACACCATGTTCCAGCCATATGGCAAAGAAGCAAAGGCCTGGACATAAGGACGGCCACGAAGTAGGATCCCATACACGGCAGCCAGGCGCAGCCGTGAGGGTGATCAGTCGGCCAAATTCCTGAGGGGCCCGCAGTTGGAGATTCTAAGCCATTTGAAGACACTAACTTCCCAGAGCAACACTTCCAGTCCACCTCCAAAATAGCTTAACTGCCATTGTGGAAAACTGTATTTTGAAAAGAACCTGCACTAACTTTTCCAGTGGAAGTCAGGTCAAATGGTAAGGCCTACACAAGACTGCTTTCAAATCAATTAAGAACTTCCAGCCGGGCTCGGTGACTCAGCCTGTAATCTCGCGCCTTTGGGAGGCTGAGGTGAGTGGATTGCCTGAGCCCGCGGGTTCGAGACCCGCCTGGGCAACTTGGCGAGACCTCTCTCTACAATAAATCAAAAAATTAGCCGGGTGTGGTAGCGCGCGCCTGAAGTTCCAGCTACTTGGAAGGCTGAGGCGGAAGGATCGCCGGAGCCCAGCGGTGGCCGGATGGATCGCCGGAGGCTGCGGTGGCCGGGAGCAGCCACTGCACTCCAGTCTGGGCAACGGAGTGAGACTCCAACTCAAAAAAGAACTTCCAGAAAGTTGGTAACATTCTAGTGAACAGAGTTTGAGTAAAAATTTAAATATGAGCATTCAACAGAAAGAACAGAGAGGGAAAAAAACCCAGAAAGGATGGGTTTTTAAAGGGTACACCTTATAACTACTTAAAACTGAGACCAACTCATACTTTCTATTTTTCCGTATCATTTTCTTTGTCTTGGGTTTCCAGTGTCAATGAGATAAAAAGATAAGACAGTGCTGTGAGGCTTAAAATGTACTTTGGGTCTAACATCTTTGCCTATGACCAATTGATATGGGAAGGACAAGAGAGGGCAAAACGTGGAGCCATTTGATTCCATGCCAGTTCAGATGGTTTCACAAAGACAGACCCCCTTTTACTTCAGTTCAAACCTTTAACTAAAAAAAAAAAAAAAATCCACAAAGGCGGAGAAGTCCCAGGTGATGTAAGCCAAGGAGAATGCTGACAAACCCAAAACACAAGGAAAATAAATCACAAAGCCAGCCTGGGCCTGGATCTATTCAAGATATTCCCTCCATATTCCCAGGAGCTGTGCAAGCGGGCATTCTATCTATCTAGATGCAACCCACTTCAGAAACGAAGGATGCCAGTCCTCTGATTTGGAGAGGTGAGATCTTGGA